GGGAGCCGCTGGGGCCGCCGCGGGGGCTGCAGCCGCGGGAGACGCCAAGAACGGTAAGACGGCGGCGGCGGGGCGCGCGCCAACTTCCTCCCCGACGGGGCCCTGGGTGGCGCGGGCGGCGCGTGGACAATGCGGCCAGGAAGTGCTCGCCCCGCCCCTCCGCCCGCCGCGTCCTCTGCGGGCCTCCGCGCTCCCCACGCGGGCGGAGACCACTGGCTGTGGGTCCCGCACGGCTCCCGAGCTGCCTGTGCTCGGTCCCCTGTTTCGGGCAGGTGGGAGCCGGCGAGCTGCGAAAGCTGCCGAGTTGACAGTGCTCCGACTGCAAACTTGCGCACGGGTGTATTCTTCCCCTGCACCCCCGCCCAGGTCCTGAAAAGCCGTAATTACCCCCAGATCTGGGGCTCTGTGGTGCGTGCCCCAGGCTCTCCAGGTTCTGGTGGCCACAGGTGAAGAGACGGGGACCTTGACTGCAAGGCGCGCGCGAGCGCGTGCGCGGTGTGTGTGTGTGTGTGTGTGTGTGTGTGTGTGTGTGTTTCTGTGTCTGCTGGGGAGGAGTGTGTTTGAGGAAGGAAGAGAATCTGAACTTGGTGTGTGTGTGTGTGTGTGTGTGTGTGTGTGTTTCTGTGTCTGCTGGGGAGGAGTGTGTTTGAGGAAGGAAGAGAATCTGAACTTGATTTCCGTTCCCAGCCCAGAGTTTTGTTTTCTAAATCGCCTTCTGTATAATAGTTGCACATATTTCGAAGGAAGCCTTACCCTCTTACGTAGTCCCCGAATGATTTGGAAAGGGCGCATAGGGAATAGTCAAAATGTTCTACTAGGGTTTTCTGTGCTTACTACAGGGACTTCGTTTTCGCGACTGGGTGCTGGGCATTTATTTGGACAGTTTTTGAATTTTTCTGGTCATTTTTCAGGGAAGCGAATGCAGGTATTTTTGGTGAAAGATGAGAATGATGATATCTGGCTTTTAGCACACAGCTTTCAGCTTTTGAAGCCCTGCTCTATGTAGACGTCTTTTAGACTGGGCACAGCACTTCTAAGAACTCCACAGTGCTTTCACAGAAGGTAGACTGCAGACTGTTGGAAACAGGCCTCTCTGACTCTGCTTCTGCGATTCTGAAGCAGGAAGATTGATTTATTATCAAGAGCAAACTTACCCGTTTTGAGTGTTTGATGATACATTTGACTAGCCTGTGCATGTTCTTGTTTCCTATGCTCCAGCCTTCATTTTGATATCACTGTGGCAGAGAGGAGGGTGCTCAGATTGGTAACTCTTGGCCCAGCCATTTGGAACTTTGACATCTGGGAAAGGCCAGTTTTTCTGAACCTCAGTTTCCTCACGTAGAAATTTGAAGGCAAAAAAATGACCCTGGTTTCTCATAGGGTTATTGTAACAGAGGTTCAGTGTCCCCTTTCTCTATCAAGTTCCAGTTCTTGTTATTTTAAAGACTTATGTAAAAGTCAGTGATGTTCCTTGCAAATAATAGATGATTGACGAATGATAGCTGTTATTTATTCATTCAAAAATAAAAGCCACTTGCAGTGTTAGAAGTACTGTGTTGGTTAAATTGGGGTTACTGTGGTGGTAAGTAATCAAGTTAGGACATCTCAATTGTCAGGTGGCCTCTGTATTTCTGTTCTGATTTGCCATTTGGGTCCCCCCTCATCCTCCCCCCCCCAATTTGGAAGTTTCAAGTTCGCTGTTCCTTCTTTCTCTAGCTCTGAAAGATTTCAGCACTTTTAAGTGCTGCGAAGGAGTTTTTTCTTAGGCAAGCGGTACCCTCTAGTTCTGTAACATTAAGCCAGTTATGATGTGCCTGTAACTTTTTTGAAGTGGTAAATTCAGGTAGATTTAGCAGTATTGTGTATATCTGTGCAAAACTGCATTTCTGATTAGGACCTTGTTTTATTAACTGATTTGGAGAAAGAAGAAATGGGCCCACATGTTGCTCTATAATCAGGATCTTAGAAGCTGCAAACTCAGTAGAAGTGAGATGAGTTTTATGGTGGCCTGGTTCCTATATTACCATATAGATGTCTCAGTGAATGATCCCCTTTAACTGAAGAACATACCTCTGCCTTTCTGCAGAAAGTAATAACTGAACATGGGTTCTGAGATCTGTGTAATATCAGTGAATCAGAAATTGCAAATACTTTTCAAAATACATAGTGTAGGTGTGTGGGAGAGGTGACATTGCTGAACTTTTACAGGAAGCAGCAATAAACTGAACTCTCAATCTGAACTCTTAATAAAAAGTTCAACTTTTTTTTTCCACGTATGGGCAAAATGGCATGCCTATGGAGGTATAACTTTCAGGAGTTGGTTCTCCTTCCACCATGAGGATTTGGGGGATTGAACCTAGATTGTCAAGCTTAGTGGCAAGTGCCCTTACCCACTGAGCTATCTCAGGCCCAAGACTCAATTATTTTTAAAATAAAAATTACATTAATTGAGCCATTGTAGTATTTCTAAGTATATTTCAAGTTTTCACTTAACTGTAATAGTAGGTCTTATGATTATAAATGTTAAAAATTATTATAAGGAATTAATAAACTTACAGCTTTTTTTTTATTTTTTATTTTTTTTTGAGACAGGCCTTGGCTATGTAGCTCTCAGTCTGGCCTAGAACTTGCTTTGTATCAGTTAAACTTTTACGTGGTTCTGATCAAGTCGGTTTTTTAATCTGTATTTGCATGTCAACTTAATGACTTCTTGAAACTAGTAGTTGTTTCAGATTTATAGAATGGTTCTATGTCTTGCAGCTCTTGGGCCGTGTAGTTTCCAAGGTGGGGTAATGTTAGCTCTTAGTTTTTCATTGTAGGTATAAATAACTCCTTACTCTATAAAAGAAGATTGCTAGCCAGGGGAGGTTTGGGGAAGCTGTAGTGAGGTTGTAGTTGAAGCAGTTGAACTGGTTGCTGTGTGCATTTGCATAAACCTGTGAAGGATGTTGTACCTCCATTTTAATGGATACTAGTTTAGGAAGCTTTTTGCAGGGAGTAAGCATGAGGAAGTGCCATCTTCCTGCCTAGTAAACATCTGTCTACACATACTGGAGAATTCTGATGGTAGGTGGAGATTTGTTGTCAGCCATTATTTTTAGAATCTAATAACCAGGCAGTAGATTATAACTGTGTTATTTCGTTCTGAAATTCTGACTCCATTAGGAATCTACTTTTTTCCATGAGGTCTAAAAATATTTGAAACCTTGATCATAGTATAGCTAGTTTCCAGTGAGCCTGGATTCCAAGTATTTTTATAAATTCCTGATTTGTGGCTGAGCAAGTTTCACCATATATTCATTCCTGTCCAAACAAACCCTTGAGCTGATTTTGCCATGTATCAATTCTTTGTAGCATAGATATGGTTAGTGTTTGGCCTTGCGTTTGGTAGACCTGTGTTCAGAATAGCTCCTCAGATTTTTCTTGCCAAATGATGTTGGGCAAATCTTATGTTCTCTGAGCATAGTTCCTGCATATGTAAAGTGAGACTAGAGTACCTATCCATAAATATGTAGCAAGATAAAGCGATAATCTATTCTGTACTAGGGAGTGTTCTTTGGTGGGAGAGGAAGGAAGCAGGGTTGGGTAGAGGGGAAAGTAGACCTGTGCTGTAGGCATACCCAAGTTGGGATGGCTTTTCAGAGTATTTCAGCTTTGAGATGAGATGTGGAAGCAGTGCCTTTTATAACCCTCCCCCGTCCACTGACTGGCCAGTTTGGTTTAGGATGTCCTCTGGAAGAGGGTAGACCTTAGGGGTGGCATCTATTTTGCTAGTGAACTTACACAGAGAAACTCTCGTTTCCCTAGAGTTTTGCCAGCTTCCTGTGGACTACAAGTGCCACGCATGTAAAAGGCAGTACGGGAGAAATATTTGTCACTAACAGTTATTTAGGTTTTGCAGGTCAGACTGAAGATAACCCCTAAACCACTATACAACATTATTTTGATAGGAACTGTGTTCTGAATCCCATGCATTTGTTTATAAGTGTAATTTTTCTTTTGAGTACCACCCATTTCCTATGAGTAAGATTGGTACTTTGCTGCATTCTTAGGTCACTAAACATACTTTATAGCCAGGTTTGTAGTATACTGGAAATAGATTGTCCTTCTTAGGTATCTTAGATATTAACTTTATTTGTACTATATTTATAAATTATGTCAATCAGAAGGAAAATAAAGAGTATTTGCCTACCTGCTCCTTCTTTCTGCCAGCCAGCCAGCCTTCCCTTCACTCCTTTGTTTTTTTTGAAACAGGGTTTCTCTGTAGTCTCAGCTGGCCTAGAACTTGCTAGGTAGACTAGCTCTGCTGGTGCCATGTACAGTTTGTTGCTTCTCTCTTTCTTTACCTGTTACAGGACCTGTGCTTACATCCTAAGTTAAGCCTTCAATGTCAGATTTCCTGTAAGTCCAAGAATGTATATTATCTGTCAGAGAATTGAAGACAGGAGATAAAATATGTACATGCCTATAATCCTAACTTGAGGCAGGATTGAGAATCAGGCCAACCTGAGCTCCACAGCAAGAGCCTGCTTCAGAAAACAAAACCGACCAACCAACCAACCAAACAGGAGATAAGACTGGGAATTATTTTGCAGTTTAGTCTTATGAGCTTACTGCACACTTTTAGCTATGCACAGTTAATTTAATTAATTTAAAAAATTTCAATGAAGAGAAAATTTAGAAGAGGAAAAGAAAATCTGTCCTGGCTGATTTTGGTGCCCACCTCTTATATTTTGAAGAGGTTTGCTAAAAACAGTGTTAGGTTGGGGATGTAGTTCAGTAGTAGAGCACCAGCCTAGTTTGTATATGTGAGGCCTTGTTGTGAATTCCCAGAACTGCAAAAAGAAAGAAAAATTGTGGTAGGTCTAGTTCTTTTCAGAATTATAATCAAACACCTAATCCCATCACTGAGACACTGAGAGTTCACAAATTGTTAATAGTTTGACACATATTATTTTGGCTTTAAAGTTTTTTTCATACAGACTTTCCCCCAGGAAGAGCTGTTTAAATTTTCTGTTAAAGATTCATCCAAAAGCATTATTTTTATCCCATATCTGAGCTATGAAAATAACATTAGAATTAGAAAAAATAGGAAGATAAATGCATATAATTAAATATGTGAAAAAATAAAAATTATAAGAAAAGACTCAGGTTTATACATTTATTTTAGATGTAGATCTGTGTTCAGCTGTAATCCCTCCCACTGATCATAATTTTATTTGAGAAGAAAAAAATGTTTTCTGACGGCATGAAAATCAAAATTTAATTTAAAAAATCCTAGTATAGAATTTTAAGAGCCATTAATGATCAGCTACTGTTGTTCAGCTTTCTTTAGTTCTCCCAAGGAAATGTTTTAAATTGAATCTTCAGTAAAGTAATCCTTATGTGTAATGTGTACTTATATGTAAAACAAGAGCTTATGTTTACATAGTCTTTAGATTTCTTC